AAAAAATACAGATCCCAAAAAAAAGAAAAAGAATGAAAATGCAAGAAAATGGAAAATAACAGATCTAAATACTCGGATTGGGATTCCGTAAAGTGTATTACTTGTAAATTTTGTTTGGTTTCCACTACGATTATGGCATTATTACAGGGGAAACTGCCAAACTGGAAAAAGCGTAGTAAAGTTGGAAAGTTTGAACCCGCAACAGTTGCTCGTCTGCTTTGCTCTACAAAGTTAGCGACGCGGGGCCCGCAATAAACAATTTTCTAAAAAAATTTAAATTAACAAAAAATGTTTTGTGAAGTAGACATAATCCTGGGATTGGCCTCTGATCTTTATAATAATTCTCATTTAATAATTCTTGTGTGATAATTTAAACGACAAAATAGGAAACTTTTTATATTGAAAAATTATATATAATTTCCTTCTTCTTCCTTTTATTTCCCATGCTAAAGCCAAAAGATTTAAAATGAATTTAATTTTTAATTTAATTGTGCAGTTCCAAAGGAATGCAATATACTCAGTGGTTCAAAGGTTGAATAAGGGTACTTAGAACTAAGAAGACAATTTGGAGCAAAACAAGCAAGAGCCATGCATTTTAAAGGCAAATTATGTCCCCTTTTTTTTTATGCAACCCTGTTCATATGTCTCTTTATTTCTAATTTTTTGTAATGTGGAGTAAGGCTCATGTCCAACCCCACAATGTGGCTTCGCCACTATATCTAAGGACAACTAGTCCCTAAGTCATGACGTTGGTTGAATCATAAGAAAATTAAAAGACAAATCTTAGAGAAAGTCAACTCACAACCAATCCCTAGGCCGTGTTGTTGGGTGAATCGGGTTACATAGAAACTAAGAAGACAATTCTGAGCAAAACTAGCAAGAGCCATGCGTCTTAGGGGCAAACTATATCCTATTTTTTCATGCAAACTTGTTTGTATGTCTCTTTATTTCTAATTTTTCGTAATTTGGGGTAGGGTCATATCCAACCCCACTTTGTGTGGTTTCACCACTGTCTCCACCATCAACTCAGAAGTAATCCCTAAGCCATCAGGTTGGGAGAATCATAAGAAAATTAAATGGCAAGTCTTAGAAAAAGTGAGAAACATCTTAATATCATCATGAATTCAACCCTAGACACATCAAACTCTTACCGTCGAGAGAATTGCACATTGAAAACCAGCTGCAACACAACATAAGGAATCACTCCCAACAACACCTCCGCTCATGAAATCGAGCATGTACTATGCCTCCTATAGACTCCCTAAAACCCTTCCTAACGTACCCCTTGAACCCCCTGTAATCTGAGGCAGAAACATGACAAATGCCAATTAATCTTAGACAAATTTTGAGTGAAAATATAACTATACATATTCTAGGAGAGAGGGAGTAGCAAAATATAGATCTTATTTTCTATTTTTAAATAGCAATGCTATACATACAATACTTTTAATTACAATGGTTTTTAAAATACAATGTGGCACATTCAATCAATTGAATGTCTACTAATTTTAAAAATATTGCACACATAGCATTTTCAATCTTCAAAGAGCTATCAATTGTGAATTACCTATCTTGACAAAAAAATGAAAAAACTGAATTGTAATCAATATTTTTATATTTGCTATATCTTCTCATCTCATGAAATTTAAGTTGAACTAAAGTTCTATTTAAGTTTTGTTAAAATTAGTTAAAATGTTAATAAGATCTTATTGAATTTTTAGAAATAAAAATTTTAAATGCACAATAAAGTATAAATAATTATATGAGTTTAATAATTATATATAATGTTAGTTTTATAAATTAAATTTAAATTGATTTTAGTTGCTATAGAAGGAGTAGTAGAATGGAAATTTTCCACTACTACCAAACCATTTAATAGCATTGTG